CCATTAAGTCATTCTCAATTAGGACCATTTACATACACTGTACGTTATGTTAAACGACGTAAACAATCAAAATTTCTTAACCGACATACACACATTATTTTATTCCTAGAATACAAAATCTATATATGTATAAATCATTAGTCGTCATCTCTGAATTAGTTGTGAACAGTTTAAAATAACGTTTATTACTAATTGTAAGTATGTAGTAACTGGAATTTACCTAAAGGCTAGATACTATTTCAGTACATTACGTGGTCCATCCAAATGATATTTCATCTATCGACATTTTTCAATTTGATACCTAATTTTCTTACGTCGATAATTAACAGATGCATGTCTCATATTCTAACTTTAATCGCACCAATAACCATGATGTAATGCTCGGGTCAGAGGTGTTAAACAGATGTCGAACCAACAAAATTAAAGAAATGAAACTATTATGCTTTGTAATGTTTCAGTATCTTACAGTTTCACTCTATAATTGTTTCGGATTTTTCGACCTTTATCAAGGGTAGATACCAGGAGAAATTATTTACTTAAATAGGTAGATGAAAATTTTTGTGTTTAATTTCAAAACTCTTTTAATTTCTAAGAAATATAAACATTTTCCTTTACATTTTATATGTAACAATTCTACGTTTTCTGTATTGATAGAGTGCTTGTTTTGTATGCAATATATCACTATAGCTGCCGTTTTTTGTTGTTTGATAATGAAGTTGTTATGTTCCCTAATTATATTTTTAACGCTTCTACCTGTCTGGCCTATATAAAATGCACCACACGCGTCACAATGAATTTTATATACACCAGATTTAGATTAGATTTGTTCTTTTTGTTTAATGCAATTGTAGAAATACTATATATGTACAGTTTTCTGCTCACTGTTTTGATAATGTTTAATTATTTATTGTAATTTTCTTATGAAAAAGGATAATTTAGATGTCTATATGTAAGGCTATGCAATGAGGCTAGTTTTATTTGTACTGACTGATTAGAGTTGATATCATTAACAAAAATATAAGCTTAAATTACTGTCTTCTCTAGAATTACTATATCCAAAAAATTTTATTACTTTTTCTTTTTCTAGAGTGAATTTCATTCTTTCGTGAAAAGTCATACGAAATCCTTTAACTGTTCATCACTACATATCTTTTCCAAAAAGCACACTATTAATCAGAACACTTAAAAAGGTCATTTTCATACAAATTGGAGAACTTATTGCGAGTATATTTGTTAGTTTATGTAAATTATCATTAAATTAAAAATAGCTTTGGTTTAAACATACCTGGACCGTTTGTTTTAATTCTTCTTTTAAATTAATTTTTGCGACTGTCCTCAATCTGTCATATGATTTTTATCAAATGGAATTGATTTAAATAAAATACTGCTTTAGAATTTTTGGAAATAGTAACAGTTTTCGAGTGAATGTGTCGATTGAAATTTAGTAATTGTAGAGGCGAGCTGAACTAATAAATTTTCGTGTTTTATAGAATGGTGAGTTAGTATAAGATGCAACTGGTCTCAACGGAACATCCTTTTTATGGAGTTTATTCGACTTAAATACCTAATTATAATTCATGAATGTACTTTATAAATACTGAGCTTGATGTATTTCCTAAAGTGGTCCCTTAGGTAATTGTCTGTATATGTCTGTCCCAGCCGTTTTCCTTACCCAACCACCCTGTATATTGTTAAACGTATTTATGTCATGAGTTTATTTACAAGTTATTTTGAAGTAAAGATACTTTTTATACTTTCTGACTATGGAACAGCCTTGTGGTGATACTGGCTGTCAGATCAGACACCCAAAGCGTAAGCAATACTATTTTATTTCAACTAGTTTCTAACACGTTCCAATTATAGCATGTAAATGATAATGAAATGATAAACTTGACGTCTCTGTTAGTACAGGAACAGCAATAAAAACTGGTTTGTTTACAAGGCATATTTCGGTTGCATCGAAGGAGAAATTAAGTTTCGTTTTATATTTATTTTGATGCGTGTACCATACATCTATGATGGCTGATAGTAGCCAAGACTAACACGAAAGTTTTATCCGTAAGCCCATCTCGAATTCAACAACCATACCATTAGCTTTCAANGGTCGACAACTATCCCAAAACACACTAATCGATCAACGACTTTTCAAGAATGCACATACACCAGATATTTTAAATACCTAAAAAAAATACCCACCAATGTGCCATGTAATATATATTTTACATTTGTAGGGTTGTAATCACAATAAAATGTTTAACTGTTTCAAGATTGAATTGAATCGAACAGGATGTTGAAAAATAAAAAAAGGTAAAAGTGCGGCGATGATCGCTGGGATGAAATTACGTAAAAATTTGGGATTCCGGCAAATTATATACAGATATATAATTTCCTATAGAGTCATGAGGAAGTTGCTGATTTTCATCGCATATTTATGGGTAACCTTCGTGTTCTATAATGTTGGAATGTAAGGTCGTATTTAAGATTTACTACCAAGTTTATATTTGTGGTTTAAAATTCCGACATTGTTGTGTGGGCGTTTTTTAATATTTTTACTGGCCTTTTCTATTTTAGGTTCGGTACTGAAACGAGGGCGTTTCTAATAAGGGTTTTATATTATAAAAAAAGTTGTTCTCTAACGATTTTTTTCAGGCCCCCCCTGTTTGTTTGGCGTTAAAAATTCAACATCTTTTTTAACGTCAATAACCTCCACACTCTTTTACACACAAACATACATAATATTACGCTCTCTGTACACACACACCCACTGTAACGGTTTTATTAGAGATGCAGATATATTTCCCATACCGATGGATTATAATTTTAAAATTCATCAGACACCTTCATTTCAATTCTATCGTCTGAAACGACAGTAAGTGCGACAATTAAATGCACGTAATTTGTTAACGACACCATGAATTGCAAATTAAATTTCTTGCCTGGAATTTCAGTAGGTTTTTCATGAAAATGTTCAATGACAACTTAAGAAAAATCTGTTGCGATTAGTTCGCTTTGACATTTAGATAAATTCTAAATAATACAAATTGCATAATATACCATTGCGACTAGATAATAGATAAATGTAGTATATGTTAAGCAATTTCTTTGTTTACTTAACCGCGTAGCTGTGTGCCATCAGTAACTTCTCCTACTATAAAATAAATGACAATTGGAGGACATATAAATGTCACTTGAGTGAAAAATTGAAGCACTAAGCATTACTTATCAGATTGCAATGGTTACTGGATGGATAATTGCCATAATTTGATATAATAGATACCTTTTTCGGTCCATAAATACCAAGGAATGACTTAAAAGAATTCCCTACTTCCTCTTTCAATGCACAATTTATTCTTCTTCTGAGAAGCGCAAAACCTCGGCAAATTACTATTACACGCGAAGGAACTTATTATTTCAACAATTGCAATTGCTGTAATTTGTAAGCAACTATTAACATCTTGTTTCATTACCATACATGTGTATTACGTTCATAGAATATTTTCTAATGATAGATAGGCAGATAATGATTTATTATTAACGAGAATTTCTTATAGCATCATTAAATAAAGGTCATTCAAACTAATGGACGAATAATTTATAGCATAATCCTATTCTTAAAAAGGATGTTGCGTTTCTGAGAAAAACTTCTTGTTATTGTTATTTTCTGAACAGTCGCATAAGTAGGTACGTATACCTAGTTTAAAATTTTCGAATGATTTATTGCTATCAATGACTAATAGTGTACCTATTAAAATTTTTACCTAATTGAAAAAGTGTTTTGGCCATTAATAATACTTTTGCACAAGTCAAAGACTTCAACGTAAGGTCAAATTTCTAACAGTGTAAACGGACTAATAACAGTATTACTTTTTGTTGCAGTTAATCACAAAAATTTAATTTATTTTTAGAAATGACAAAACAAAACTTATTCAAAAAATTATAAAAGTTCGTTTAACTCTATTTGGATTAAACAAGTAGTCGGTTTAGAATTTCAATAGCAATTAATTCAAAAACAATCGGTACCTTAGGTATATTATATAAACTTATATCCGATTGCTTACTGAACCAATTTGGATAAAATTTGTATGGAACCATCTCTGAAGTATCAGCTACCAAACAAATAATCATCAAAATCAATTCATAATTTTGAAATCGGAAGCATCATTTCTGAATCACTGATCAAAATGCACGAATAATAATTTTTATCTTACTTTTATTCATTTTTGATAATTTTAAATACACAATTTTAAAACTATAAATTCATTTATTGCATTACTCGTCAAGTATCACCATTAAAAATAATTGAAGGGCCTCGCAAAGATGCATCCGCCCAAAGCCTTCCAAAGTCTAAGATCGCCCTTGACCACAACCATAAACGAAAATTGACCATCGGATGACTTTACAGATTTTTGACGGGTATCGGATGAATTTTTTCATACCGACTCTGACGTCTCACATCACGTATGAGCTTTCTTTTTTTTTAAAATGCTGTAGAAAAATTTACCTTGAGAAAGCCTTTCGCCTAAGGCGAAACGTCGCTATCCGTTTTAGTCAACATTGACTCTTATAAGCAGAAGAAATGCAAAAGATATCCAATATTGAATGCAACATCGTCAATAGCTAGAGTACTTATGTACGTCCGAAGTCCTCAAACCTTTAGCAAACTCGTTTGAGTTTGGAACAGTTGTGAAATGAATTAGCTAATGTAGATGTATATATAATTATATATATATATATACAGATATACATATACGCATGTAGGTATATACAACGTGCTTTCTAAAAGCCTAACTGTGTTCGAATTTTTCTGTATGAAACTGAATAAATAGACCCTAGGGCAACTACAATGACTTAGTACGACCATGTTGACGAAATCAATACATAGTTTCTACCTTAAATACTTTTGCTTGTAAATCATCGACAATTCGATCTCCTTGACTCATTGACAATATTGTGTAACATAAGTTTTCGGTTTCGATTAATTAAAAAATAATAGCACAAACCTGCAACGAAGGTCAAAAGTTGAGGAATGGAATTTTCTCCCGAAGAGTCAACCAAATGAACCAAGTACGTCTTCATCATCCGAGAATATTCTTCCTGACTTATATTTATCTGAAACAAAAAGCAGTGTAAGGGAGGTGGTACTCTTCAAGCTAATCAATTTGTTTGAACACAGGTTTACTTTGTATCTTTTGTTCTTGAACATACATTATTAATGCAATTATTCGCAAAAAGTTATTATTACCATAAATGATCGGAAAAACTCCACATTTCCACTGTTATTCTCCAGTTGATGAGTTGTTGGGTTATGAAAAGACTTGTGCAGGAAACAAGCAGATTAATGAAGTGAGTAAATAGGCAGCTCTAGTAATAAAATCAAATCAAGTCGTAATAAAGCAGTACTTTAAATCGAGAGCGACTTGCTGACAAGTAAGACATGAATTTGTAAACGAAATCTTAATAATCCTGCCAGCAGGTTCTGGGGTCGATTAAAAAGTGTTACGGCTTCAAAAGTATCGAATAGGTTTTAAAGTTCGCCGATACTTTGCCATATACATGTATGCACACATGTTATGTAACGTTTAACCTAAATTCTATTTTGACGTGCACGCGTGGAATATAGCTTCTAGTACTGTTTTACACCTCGCAAACTCTTTACAATCTTGCACGAGCAGTTAATTGATTCTTTCGGGTTATTTAGTCTATTAAGACATTGAATCGAACGGTTTTATTACTTCCGCTCTACACGCCTTTTTATTCAACCTATTTAATTGGAGCAGCGAACAGACGGCTAGTTTTTTCTTTTTTTTTTTTTTTTTTGAAGAAGTTGATTAAATTAAGCAAATGGAGTCTAGGATGTGAAAACGAACACTTCAAAATGTCGGGATTTCCCCTATATGACAGCAGTTTCGTTTTTGCGATCACGTATGAATAAACACATTCTTTCGTAAATGATTATGCACAGATTAACATTGATTAGCATCCCAAGCATATAAATAACCGGCAATGGAATGCTTTTATCATTAGAAACAACGAGAAAGCTATTCATATCCACGTTTTTAATTAGAAATACTCGATTTCCTGAAATTTTATTCAGTTTACCAGTTGTACCCGTTTAAATTTAATCCGTCGTCAATCGGGGAACCTTCTTTTGCCATAACTTAATGTAAACTCAATGTGCAGAGCACTTCACACATGTGAATCCATATCATAACATAATTCCGTAACGAAGCTACAGCCACTCCCCCGTTCTATGGGCTAACGCGTCAAAAAATTGGTGATTTTTAATTAAAAATTCAGATTAAATAGCAATACTCTCGATATGGAAAGTAGGCCTAAGCCACAGTTCATTTAGAATGTCAAATCCTCAGAGAAGATACAAAGCAAACTACTCTAGAATCATATTCGCGTTTTTTTCCCGATGAAAAATATAAATAGGTCAATTCAAATGAAAATTAATCAAGTGTCGCCTTGAGATAGTTGCCACCTTGTATCCACATATTTGCAATTTGTTATTAAAAGTAAAGTGGAATAGTTGGCATGTTAGGCGTCTCATAAATTATACCTAGAAACCACTTCTTTTCATAACTGTTATCTATTTCTTAGATAAATAGCTTTTTAAAAGTGTCCCCTAATTGACAGGAATGTTTTTCCTTCTGGATTTCTTTCCTCGTGCTGTTAATTTAGACAATTTGTATTCCGTTCAATCCTTATTAATTCAAAAAAATCTGGCTCCGATTTATTACTATGATAAAATGTTTTCTGGTACAATGTTTGTATTTGCGTCAATTCAATAGCGGTCTTCATCAAAGTAAAGCTTTATAGCCTAATGTTGTCATATTTTTAAATTTCGGCTTCCATCAGAATGACAAACTGGAATAGTATATCTGTTCCCATTAAGTCATTCTCAATTAGGACCATTTACATACACTGTACGTTATGTTAAACGACGTAAACAATCAAAATTTCTTAACCGACATACACACATTATTTTATTCCTAGAATACAAAATCTATATATGTATAAATCATTAGTCGTCATCTCTGAATTAGTNGACTGAAATTTAATGATTAAGAATGAAATTTGAATTGCAAAAACGTTGCGTAAGTCTATGATGCGTAATTGTATATAATATATGTAAAATAAATTCTGTGACATAAGCAGAGCCTTTTGTCTAGAAATTAGTGTGGCCTACTTAGTCATTGAAGTTCTTGTTATAATTAAATTTCTATGACGACATAACACATCTACGAATTTTGGACACACTGTACGTTATATTGTATTTTATGTACTTGGTAATTGTAGTTCACAAAACGATTAGCCAAGAAGAAATAAAATAAAACAAAAGTGTCTATAATAAGTGTGCAAATGAAATACATAATAACTTTCAGTTTTACTAAATCATTACCGCGCAAAAAGTAAGTAACCGGGGAATTTTCACCGCGACTATTGAAAATTAGTACTAACATCCGCTGATAATTGTTTTTACAGCTTCCTACATTTTCTAATAAGGTCATGCTGTAGACTGGTTAGTTAAAGAACAAATAACTGGTAAATAGTCTATTTGCTCACTTGTTATAGTCTGGTATTATTTTGCAAAGTACGAAGAAAAAAAATGAACAACCTATTAGAATACGTGCCGAAGGACTTCCTTATTCACAAGAGGGTGCTAAAATCTGTGCGCATAAAATGTGGGCAACCATCAGTTAAATATAATGTAAAAGTTGTAACAGTTAAGATCAAATCACTTTGATACGAGGCTAATTATGTTTTATAGAGACGTGTTTATGAACATGCATGAAGGTGTAGTACTTATGCCCCAAGTTAATCACCTTTTAAATCAAGTGGCAGATATTGTTGTATACTGACAGTGATTAGGTACAACTAAAATGCAATTTATGACGTGTATGAAACAAAGAATTATTTTATCTATCCTATAATATAATGTCAATCATATCTTTCGAAAACTAGTTAACGTTCTAGTCTTAAAAGGTCATATAATGAAATCATTTTCGGTTAGAATACGAAAATGGATCAATTTTAATTATGAAAAGAAATTAAGCCAAAAAAAACAGTTGCAGTTACATGTCCGAGTTAATTTCTTAATTGTTAGGAACCTAGTTCCTGATTTTATATTAACAAATAACAAAAATTCTTTACATTATCTCTTTTTATATCAATATTTCCCACCATATTGTCGGTTTTGCCAAACGGGTGCTTGTAACCAGATTTTAAGTTTGATTATGTAGTAAGTAATATGATTAAAAAAAAACAGCGATAAACAACGGTAGTTTTTGACCTGCCACAAGACACGTTTGACTGCAGTTTTAAATTTTCATGTAGATATATCAATAGTAGGATATCTATTATTGGAAAAGAGAAATTTATATTACAGACAAAAGACTTCTATTGAAGGTGAAAGTAGTTTTGAAAATACTTCTTAAAAATGTAAAGTGAGATTTTTATAGACGGTTTTGTTAATAGAAGAGAAGACATTTCTTAGCAGTCTAAGTTAAAGAAAGAATAAAAGGTGTAACACATGTTCAAAAGAAGTGAATCCAAATAATGATGACTTAATTAACAGGGTTATAACATAATAATGAACCTACACAACACCCAAACGCCGTGTGATATTCGCAATTGTAACCGTAAGTATAGGTATTAATTATCATCATTAATCTTGTTTAAGCCGAAAACACCAATATTTGTATTCGTTAAGATAAAAATTAATTTATTGTTTATTTTAAATCCCACGGCCTGCATACTAAGAGATAACATTTCGAAATATTTGTCAACATTAATTAATTACGTACAACAATAAAGTATCCAAACGGAATACAAAAACGTCGCCAGTAACAAATCCATAAAAATATGTCTAAGGAAAATTGTTTTCCCACTTACTCCGTTAATAACACATCTTTCTGAGGCAAAAGCATTCGAGGTTTCTTTATGTAGTCCGTAATATTCACCCTCTGTTGATGCTGCGCTCCTAATACGTCTGCCCTCAAAACACACCCTCAAGTCCTTCAGTTGACGCTTTAGATCATTTTCATAAGTATTAAACGCATTACCTACCATCTTGTTAAGACATTCCTTTTTTAAATTTGCATAATATTTTCAAAGATTATTTATTTAATGGTCGCAAAAGATACAAAGTAAAAGTACGTAAAATATTTGTATGTACAAGTTCAGTACTAAAAGTTTAGGTACAACGTAAATATTGACCTAAAAGGTTTCGTGATAACCTGATAACTTTCGTAAAAATTTTTCTTATTTTGAATGACGTTATGTAATTTTTAAATGCCATAGCACTCAAAGGGGATTGAATAATAATTTTTCGAGACGTTTTCCTTTTTCTTTTTCTAGAGTGAATTTCATTCTTTCGTGAAAAGTCATACGAAATCCTTTAACTGTTCATCACTACATATCTTTTCCAAAAAGCACACTATTAATCAGAACACTTAAAAAGGTCATTTTCATACAAATTGGAGAACTTATTGCGAGTATATTTGTTAGTTTATGTAAATTATCATTAAATTAAAAATAGCTTTGGTTTAAACATACCTGGACCGTTTGTTTTAATTCTTCTTTTAAATTAATTTTTGCGACTGTCCTCAATCTGTCATATGATTTTTATCAAATGGAATTGATTTAAATAAAATACTGCTTTAGAATTTTTGGAAATAGTAACAGTTTTCGAGTGAATGTGTCGATTGAAATTTAGTAATTGTAGAGGCGAGCTGAACTAATAAATTTTCGTGTTTTATAGAATGGTGAGTTAGTATAAGATGCAACTGGTCTCAACGGAACATCCTTTTTATGGAGTTTATTCGACTTAAATACCTAATTATAATTCATGAATGTACTTTATAAATACTGAGCTTGATGTATTTCCTAAAGTGGTCCCTTAGGTAATTGTCTGTATATGTCTGTCCCAGCCGTTTTCCTTACCCAACCACCCTGTATATTGTTAAACGTATTTATGTCATGAGTTTATTTACAAGTTATTTTGAAGTAAAGATACTTTTTATACTTTCTGACTATGGAACAGCCTTGTGGTGATACTGGCTGTCAGATCAGACACCCAAAGCGTAAGCAATACTATTTTATTTCAACTAGTTTCTAACACGTTCCAATTATAGCATGTAAATGATAATGAAATGATAAACTTGACGTCTCTGTTAGTACAGGAACAGCAATAAAAACTGGTTTGTTTACAAGGCATATTTCGGTTGCATCGAAGGAGAAATTAAGTTTCGTTTTATATTTATTTTGATGCGTGTACCATACATCTATGATGGCTGATAGTAGCCAAGACTAACACGAAAGTTTTATCCGTAAGCCCATCTCGAATTCAACAACCATACCATTAGCTTTCAACATAATCGATCTCTTGTAAAAAACGCGTTATTATTATTATTATTACTATACGTGTTTATTATCTTCCCTGTTTTATATACAGCGGGACCACAAATTGTATCCTACAAGGTTCGTGGTATCTAAAAATATCTCAAGAANTTTTCCTTTTTCTTTTTTAATTTTGTTGAAAAAAGGGAGAAAAAAATAAAATTTTCGTAATTTTTTTTGGTCAACTTTTGAAAACTTTTAATACTGATTTTATTTAAATAAGAGTATTAGAAATAAAATGGAATTACTCACCTTGGAAACGTCTGGAAGAACCTCTAGCCCAAGATTTTGTACCAAATCTTGGTCGGCACTGACAACAACTTTAAACACTGAAACTGATAACGAAAACAACAAAGTCAATGCCACCACTATAGTCCAAAACTGAAGGCCCATAGCCGGTACGAAAAGCCGGCATAAACAGTTCCTTCTTTTCCCGGCACTAATACATACAAAAGTACCTCATTTCACGGGAATCATTAATAGATAAAGGATACACCAAACAGTTCGTAGCTGAGAAGTTAATGTTTTACTTTACAACACGGTACACGCTTTGAAGCAGGTAGCATATACACTAACTGCCTACAACATTCCCGCTCGTACTTTTATATGTATACAGGTACCACGGGAAGGGGTATGTTACGGTAAATGACGGGATTGTCTTGACGAGGTTTACCTTACCACGAAATGCAACCCCGACCTTCGAAGATTCCACCCTTGTCTTCCACCCACCGAATTTCTTTACACCAACCACCCCTCTCTTAGTACTTGGAACGATTAGCTAATTAAATTATGACTGATCGAAACCTACCCTACAACAATACAATAAATTTTCCCATGTCTATTCAATTTCTCTTTTTTCCGCGTATGTAAATTTAAGGAAAAATTTTCCAAGTTTCCACTCTCCCAGCTTAAACTTTTCCATACGTAACTATGGAGCGACCTTCCAGAACGTTTAGGAAAACGGTGGAAATTTTATTTCTTTAATTTCTCATAGATTATACATACTTAAATTTGCATCCCTGAACTATACTTCTTTCTTAACTACATGGGTTTTCCCTTCCCGATTTATGACAACCACAAAAACTACCTACCTACTGCATCTAAGATAAAAAAATGATGAAATAAATATTTATTTGTATTTACCCCCTGTTACTTACTGAAAAATATCTACGTCCCTGTCTAGTTAACTGATTAATAATATGTAAATTGATAGGTACAAAGGTATTTCAGGTACACTTAAGTTTTCAGTTTCCTAATATAGATCGTACAAAGCCATTGTTAGTGTCCATTTCAATTCAATTTTGTCAAGTGTAGTTTTTCATTAACGAACACGCACTTTTTTTCCTCTTAACGCATTGAAAACTTTTATACATGCGTGCAGCATGTACAGATAGAATGTTTTCCTACGCATATGTTCTAAAAAAAGGCAACTATCTTGTATTCATCCCTTTCGAGGAAATTACTTGTTTCGTGAAAAAAAAAAGAAACGCAACAAAATCGAATAATGAAAACAAATTTCTTCATCAAATTGCATTCGATGATAAATGTATTTACATACATAAGTATATACAAAGTATGTGTATTCCGTGGCAGGTTAACATATTAATTCGAAACAGTGGGAGCTTTGACGTTCAATTTAAATATTAGTACAAGGGGCCTACGGTTACATACATATTCAGGTAGAAATGACTCCGACTGAAAGATAAGATACAGGTGCATAATGGGGAATGCAATAAATACATCAAATATATTACAAAGTCGCAATTAACCCTCTTGTATAGTTCCATTATAATATATATCCTTTATAGTAAAGGTGCACGGTCATAACAATAAATATTTTTGTTAAATAACTTTAAGGAACATCTACCAACATTTCCATTAAAAATTCAATCCTTCGAGATAGTATAATAATGTATCTTATGCAAAATAAATTAAAATAATAATAAATTGTTACTGTGTCTAACAAATTTCAATATTAATTAACTTATGACAATACGCACGATGACGACGTTTGTCCCACGCTAGGTTTTGACAAAAGTGGGTTTGGCAAATTTTAGGGGAAATTTCGAAACAATTGACTGTAGGTACCTATTATAACTGAGAAAAAGTCAAGGAATTGTAGGTGCCGACTATTCAAATTATTTCCCTGTAATAATCAATATAATATATTATCCGTGTGGGACGGTTGTTTAACGGTTCGAAGAACTAGGCCATCCCTTACTTCGCTGTCAAGCTACCCTGTGGGTGTGTAAATAAAAGCGACCCTTCCATGAAAGTTCCTACATACAGTCATATTTACTGGAAATTGGAATTCACAAATTCTTCGAATCTATCTCAAAAACTAGGTCAATTATATTAGGCTATCGTTTTCAAACGGTTTCCACTAACTACCATTACCAATTATGAATGTCAATAGAACACTTTCAGGTAAATAATTTAAATACAGGGTATCAGCGCATCACTTATGTTTAAGGTATAGTCCACTTATTAACATTTCTGTAACGAAATCCCCTCTATGAATTCTAAATAGGTACCTTTTTAACTTTTTAATATAAAAATTTTCCTCTTCAAAAACAACAGGTAGTATGTTCACTCACCAGAATAGATGTAAATACAGCACTTACAACAATTAAGATCTCCACTTGAATTAATAACGTCACAACTTGCGAAATTCCAGCACCTGGTTGTTCGATCTTTTAACACATTCTGAAACAATAGAATAATTTTATGCACATAGTAGTATCTCAAATTATTACCATACTACGCTAATAACCTACAATAGAATTTCGAGAATATTTCTAAAATGAAAATATCTACAAATTTATTATTAAGGTAGTTAGAAAAAGTATTTAATTATAAAAAGGAACTGTTAAATTGTTGAAATTACATAAAATCTCAGTAAAAACCTTTGGAAATTCCAAGTAGAATAGAATACAACACAATTCTTTTATTCAAGGTTTATAAAAAAAAAAATATTGCACAAGGTGAATTTCACAATTAAATGTTTATTATCTTTGCTTTCTTTGTCGCTGAAAGAAAGGCATATATCGTAATAACGATTTCAGATCATTCACAATCAGATTATTTAACTGTGTTCGTTGCGGGTAACATGTAAATTCAATGCCAAAATAATTTCGAAAACCGACGATTCGTTATCACCTAATTGACACCCAGAATAATATAAACATGGTATAGTTTTTTTCGATTCAGTCACCTGCCTCGTTAAAAGCAACCTGAGAATATACTATACCACCAGCCAAACCGAAACCGGTCATGGTATGGAATTTACTTCTGTATAATATCCTGGAATTAAGTAGACGAACATCAACGAAAAGAGAAAACGAGAAAAAAAATCATCGTCTCACTTAATAATAAGACAGCCAGTATAAAATTCGAAAAGTAAAAATTTAGTAGGAATACAGTCGGTTAAAGGTTGTGCCAATAAAATTATTCTATCGTATTCATAAAAGCTTAAAAGCCAATAATTCCGGTAGTAGCGTTAGACTTAGAAATATGAAAATTAATTTATTACTCTAACAGTCATCAAGGTAATTTCAAAACATTCACACCTGCAAGTTTCTTAGCGCCAAACATAAAAATTCAAATGGAATGTTGACTCTTATCGTGCATCCAATATGTAGGCAGAAATATTAACAAAATAAGTTTCAGGCTTATTTAAATCACAATTTTAATACTGTGTGTAGTAATAAATTTTGAAACACTCTGTAGGTAGTCATATATACTTATGCCTGGGCAGGTGCAGATATATGCCCAATTGGTAAACTGACCATTTCTTAAATTGAACGTGTCAATTTTGGAAGCAAGAAAGCACCCATCGGAATGGTAAAAACCGTTTCGGTAACGCATTTCAATTTAAATTCCACCAGTTCCGAATAATAACTACTACAAAAGGTGTATATAAGCGTAATAATTTATTAAGCACGTTTGTAGTTAAACACTTCAAGGAATAAAGCGCAATGGTACAGAGGGGTGTAACTTTATTTGCCAACACTACACCTAAATGGCTTTGCAGAAGCAATAGTCGGATAAGTTCCGAGTATTTTTAAAGCCCTGTTTGTCGCGAGTTCTCTAATTGCTCGAAAATTGCCAGTCATACGGACATTGCTCTCATTATTCCAATACCCTGTCGCATACAAAAGTAAACTGTTTTTTTTTTTACGCGTTTCACTAAACGCAGAGGGTTCCGTACTAGTTTTTCATATTTAAATATTCAAATTTTATTTNATATACAAATATCACTTATTTGTAAAATTTGTTTGTTCTTAAGTAAGATTGTGTTGGGCTGTTTTGTAGTCAATAATACTTGCGTCTGGTTTCAGTTGTCTTATAATTTATAATAACAATATCAGGAAGTACACTTGTTGGTTCGTTGCAAATGAAAAAAATTTCAACATTTTCACATAAATAGGCAAAGGGATTATTATTATTATAAGTTTTTTCATTTTACTGAGAGTATTTTCAAATGGATTTGCTTCATCGAGCCCCCATAAAGTAGACTTAACTGTAAGTTTAAGCATGTGATAGGTTTGCCTCTTAAGACCCATATGAAAAATCCATAAGGCAATCCTCATTTTAGTATCACCACCTTTTTTGTGGAATTTTCATGAGGAATGTACGGGGAAATCCCTATATCGGCATGCCCCTCATTAATGACATGAGGCCCATACGCTACATTCGGCATGAGTCCTATAAATTCTAGTCGGGACTTTTTTTGGTAGGATTTTCATAAGAAATCTACGGGGAAATCTCCATATCGGCATGCCCCTCATTAACCACATGAGACCCGCACGCTACATGGAGCGTGCCCTCTATAAATTCTAGTTGGGTAATGATTTGAACACTCAATATTAAAAATCAGAAAATATTGCGTGATCTACAAGAACTCAACCTTACATTTAAATAGATGTTTAGGTAGGTATAGTTGAATATCCAGATATTTAAAATTTTGAATAATCAAATATTTGGATAGATCTTTGAATTTGTAAATATTCGAATATTTGGATATTTGAATATTTACTTTTTTTTTAATTGAATTATATACACCTCTTCTATATAGCTTGTGTTTTACTGAACAATATCTTAAACGTTTTTAATCATTATCCTTTGGTGACTAGTATACTATTAAAACATGAAGAATCAGTATATAAATTTAAATAGTCAAGATCTAACGAAATAACTAGCAAAGTAACTAACCTAACGTAATCTAACCAAACTAATAAGTAATTGATGTATATAAAGTTGATTAGTTTATTTTATAGTAATCCTTTATAATTTTGGCGTAGATTTGGAGTATTATGCTTTTTAGTTTGACCCCTTCATAACTAAGAATCCCATATTAAGAGGATTCAAAAAAATAAAATAAAGGACTCCGGAACACAACTTACTCCTTCAAATGACCACAAGGAAAATATGTGGTCCAATATAAATCATTTTAAAGCCTGCACTCAGAGCTAGGCAATACTTCAAGTAGATGTACCTGAGAAAGTACTTAAAATACTATTCGAAACTTCAATTACCCTACTACAAATACTGTAAGAAGCCTTCACTTGGTACTTGATCCTTGACAGAATAATTCTGTATACTTTTGGTACTTAGATATAATGATAAATACTTTAAATACTTCGTAACTACTTCAAGTTGTATGTAACAGGTATGAAATAAACGAAATGCAATTTTTCCAGATAACTAAACCTTTTGAAACAACTGGAGCGGTTTGTAGTTTATAGGTACTGATACTTTTTGTACTTTTTCATTTAAGTTTTCCATACTAATCCCAAATGGCGTATTTCTTCATTTAGATACAAAACTTACATGACCCTTACACGTACGCCGGAAAATAAATTAGAAAATACCTCAAACAGAAAGTCCCAGAAGGGAAATGCTAAAAACAGTACGAAAGTACTCCATGTGTACTTGAAGTATTATTTACTAGGTACTTCAACTACTTAAAGTTACCAAAATGTACTTAAAATAATAAGAATGCAGCTACTATCGATTCGAATTTGATTAGATTATTGTTCACAAATATTTAAGGATATGGATGTTCTAGTTTTAAGTAAATGCGAAGATTAGTTCAGGATAAGAAAGAATGGAGGTGCGTGTCCAACCAGTTTTAGGACTGACGGCCCTATATAATAACAAGGATGATTACGTTTTATTTAATTCTTACAATAAAATATTTTGTCTCCAAAAAATTTTAATTTATTTTTACTGAAGAAAGGATTTGTCAATAAAAATATAATAAAACATGTATTACATTATACATTGTCAAGTTCAGTAAGTGGATCGTATTGATATCATGTCATGGTTTTTTACACACTACGTAGTATATGTTGTTCCTCAACATTGTAATATTGTAACATTATGCTCCTATTGTACCTAATGAACAAATTATGCTTACGTCATTGCAAACATCACGACGTGATGACGCAATGGATATTGTAATACCGTCATCAACCTACGCTTATTTTAAATTCTTTGCCCACATTTCGTATTGTAATTAAATTCAACGAACTTTATTATTGTATATTTCGTCACTGTTACAGGAACAACATTTTGTTAAATATAAATAGAGGGCCGTTCGATATTTTTCACAGTAGATAAATAGCATTTTATTTAAACCATTGCACTATTTATTATAACCTACAGTAGAATATTTATTGACAATTAATTAATAATAGATTCGAAAATATGCATATATTTAATTGTTAGGAACCTAGTTCCTGATTTTATATTAACAAATAACAAAAATTCTTTACATTATCTCTTTTTATATCAATATTTCCCACCATATTGTCGGTTTTGCCAAACGGGTGCTTGTAACCAGATTTTAAGTTTGATTNTATAAGTGATGTATATATTTTGGAATATAATTACTGAAGCATCGTTAAAGTGTTTCTAGTGCAGGAATTTGCAATTAAATTTTTTTTCCTTATTTTGTTTTCTGCACGGAGGTCGGAACAGAAGCGGGCTTAGTAAAAGCAGGACTGACGTAACACAAAAACGGAATCAAAAATGTTTTCCATTAAATTTTTGTTACATTAAAAGCATAGATAATAGTTGAAGTACATCGCAGTTTGAAAGATGAACTTCGTCCTTCAAGCGTCCTTCTAGGGGAACAACAAACATTGACGGATATTAGTCCTTTGGGAGGATTAATTCCGTTTTTGTCCAAAATTTTCTTGTGTTCTATTAGTTAATGTTATTTGGAAATTTTCAGTATATCTAACAATTACTTTACTAACTTTAAGAAGTTACAGTTTGAGTTCCAACAACATTTCAACTTCTTATCAGCCGGTATCGACTTTATCTTAATCTATATATCAAATTAAAAATCTAGGATTCTACGTTCATTACAAAAGAGTGCAGGATGACTGGTCGCATGGCTTATGCCCGTGTAACTGAAGATGCATGTATCTGTATGTGCAGAACACTCAAAAGCTTCGAAAAAGTTCATCGTCCTGTATGTATAGAAGAATCCAAATTTGAAAAAAGGAAATCAAAAACGCTTCACGGAAAATGCCCAAAGTCACAACAACATGTAGACAAAGAAGCGTTGAACATATGGTTAAAGAAAGGAAATATGTAGCAGAACTTGGTTATAGCGTCAGTCTAGGGATCAGTCACACAATGACGTAATAACCGAGTAGATATCATTATTAACGGAAGTTTAAATGGTACGCATTTCCAAAAAAAACTGAACAATTTCGGAAATAGAAATATTATTGGCGTTAACTTGAATGGTAAATTTGCGGGACTATTAAAAACTGGCGTTACTTCAGAGTTGTCGTTATAACCCATGTTGTTATAACCAAGTAGAATTCATGATAACGATTTAAGATAAAGTAATAAAAACTACTGTAATTATGTAATAAAAGATCGAACAGTAATATTAGACACATGCCAAGCATATCATAAAACTATTGACTATATCACGGAGGGTTGCTCATTGTTAGCCAGGAGCTAACAAGCTCCACTGGGATAAAGATTTACCTAATTACAAACAGAACAATTAATCATAATAAGTCTGACATCCTGCTAAGTACCATAGAAACTAAAAGGACCTACTTGCGTTAGTACATATTATTCCATAACAAACTAAAAATAACCCTTATCCAAATAAATAAAAGAATCAAATAATCGAAGGCTAAAATCAAAATAAATAAATATTTAAAAAAGTTAACACCTAAAATAAAAATGTAATTCATAAAAGTATCTATCTTTCTACAATAAAGCTTAAGTGTCTTCTGATGTTTCATTAATGGTATAGCATGCTCCTACTGTAGGTGTAATAACACACAAAATTAATGTCTATTGTATTTTGTCAGGGTAGAGGAAAAGGGTCAAACTTGATATTGGGGGCGGAGGGGTTGCGACTTTGGGTTACGCCACTGTCTCCAATTCTACTAATAGTTAAGTTTTACATTCAATTTATTGTTAACAGTACAGTAAAAAATCATTATGCTTTTATTATTAAAAAAGACAAAGACAACAATAATACGTTAGCTTCAAAATTACTGAACGGTATTTATTCCAAGAAGTTGATGCTTTGTTCTGTGTGGTTTCAAACCCCGTAGTTGTGAGGAAAATTGGTTCATCGGAAAATTCACTTTCCTTAGTAATCACGAAGTTGACATATTAAGCTAAATTGTAGTTTATTAGACCTGAACTTAAGCGTTGAGTCACGCCGCTAGATTAGATTATTAACATTAGTCCTGATTATCGGAAGGACAAAACACTTCCTGGAAGAATTAAGGATTATTCACCATTTTTTCGACGAAAACGACCATTCTCCCTTGTAGCTAGTGCAATAAACCTTCCGCGAAAACAAGTTTTCGGTGCTTTCTACAAAATGAATCATATGTATCACGAATAGTTGTTATACTATTAAATGCTACTATGGTAATTTACAACACATACAGACTCGTTGTTATGGATCAAGCATACGAAATATCTTATTTAAAAATTCCCGTAAAGAATAGAATAAAGAGCAACTTTTAGAAGTGACGTATACTTACAGAATCATCGTAAAATATATTATTTACTTATGAGAATAATTTTTCTTATGCAAATTAGGTAACTTAGTGTAATGTCTGTGCATATTAGGGGTCGAAATTTTTCATATCAAACTGTTCAAATATTTGTTGACGACATTATATTTGAATAGATGTTTGAGTATAATTGGATATCCAGATATTTCAAATATTTAGACAGATCTTTGAAATTGTGAATACTTGAATATTCGAACAGTTGAATATATAAAATCATGATGATAATTTGATAAATTGATAAAGAAAATTGGACCTAAAGAACTGCATAGGTACAATAATTCCCTCAAGAATCTCAACCTTACATTTAAATAGGTGTTTAAGGACCTTTCTAAATGCCTGAATATCTAGACATTTGAAATATTGAATATTTGAAATATTCGGATATTTGAATAATTAAATATAGGAATATTTAAATTTGAGATGACATTTTTCAATTTGAATTATGGCTATTCAAATAATTCGAATACAATTCCAAGCCCTATTGTATATTATATATTACAAATATTATAAAATCAAACGAAAAAAATAACATTAAACTTTACAACATTAATTTTGCGCTCAATAAGATATATTTGCGCCTGGTATTGTATTATTATGCATTTGGATCGCCATCATACGAGATTTTAACAGATCCTTTGCTATACACAAAGAAAGAGGACTTTGGAAAATCCAAACCTTCTACGTAATTGAGATGTTGCAAAGAATTAATTGTTGTAGATGCGGAACTATTTTTTACTACTTGCAAAAAAGCGATCTTACGATTAAATTGACCAAGAAACTGCTTTCATCTAGGTGACGAGAGTGTAATGTATTTTACAGCCTTATTGCTATTAGAAAAGAAAAAATTATATTAACATACAATAATAACTGCATTTGCAAAGTAAGAGTTACATCCACAACTGTTTGAAATAACGGAAATAAGTATTAGGTACTTTAATTGCCGTAACAAATTACGTATATCCTTTTTGTGTTACTTCATTAAATGAACACTTCCTATAAGTGGTAGGATTTTCCTTTATCAATTTATTAGAAGTTTTAGAGGAAAACCCATATTGTTTGTGAATATTATATATAAAAGAAAATATGAGTGCTGTTAGCACAGGGCAAAGTAGTATTACGTAAATAAAAGTTAGTATCAGCAATTGCTGCTGCTGAAGTGTACGATTTGTTCCGTACCTATTTACAAACAATTCCTTTAAATTTTAATCATTATTTATTCATTTATTAAAAAACCATAATGGCCGACATAAGTAACAATGCCACAACAATTGAAAAAGAATGATGGCCGACAACAGCAACAATTAGANTATGTTGAGAAATAAAAAAAAAAAATTTTTAAAAACCTTGTTTTTCTTGGTCAGGCCGGAAACTTATCAATCCACCCTCGTATGTATAAAAAAAATATGAGTGCTTTCAGCACAGGGCAAAATCCAACTCTTGCTCTCTAACTATTGCTGTCACTGATATCAATGCTTTAAAGCGCAGGAATATAAACAATTAGAATCAAAACGTTTTTCAAACAATTTTTAACACAATGAAAGTGATTGAATAAATTCGACCACTCGAAGCAAAAGAAATCGAAATTATCGCAATTTTAAAACTCATCCTTTTTTTAAACATTTGGTAAATTAAATAGCAAATGTATTTACAGTTCTTATATTTTTTACAGCAGCTTTTACAGTGTTGTTACACTTTCTAACAGTAAAAAAATGTTTTAGGAAAAAGAATGGCAGCCTAAGTATTTGAAATCATAATTAATATAACATAATTGCAAAATCTTTTTAAGTTTTCATAGATTGTCGTATTCACACGCGCGTTATGTGTGCTGCATACGCTACTACCAAATTTTATATTAAATTAATCAGACAGGGTCGGTCGCAGTTAAATTTATAGTTACATAAATTTACTGTTTTCTCCAATTTCTAAGTGTAATTAAGGAAAAAAATCTTATTGTTTAAAAAAGTTAAAAATAACTCCTTAATCACTATTAATGAATTATTGATAGAAACGTAACTGATGCAATAGATTTGATATTATTTATTTGTATTAAGGGGTGAAGCACTTTTATTTTCAAATTTCCTAAATTAACCTCTGTGATGAAGTGGGAGGGACTTATAGTACGATATGACATTTTAGTAAAATAAACATGGCTGGCAGATAAATAAAAAGTATTGTACACTAACTAGAAAAAAAGTATTATTTATCTTCTAGAGGAAACTTATTTAGTGCTAATTGAAAAGGACAATGGGTGTCGTGAATTCAAATCGCCTTTGTTAATTTTTACGTAGAAGTTTTAAGTGTAAATTGACAATACGGCGAAGCGCCATGTTTCGCAGCCAAGCCCTTAGAATTTATGTTGGATATTTATTTTTGTTTTATTGTAGAGCAGAAGTCAAAACTGGCATACCCAGTAAGTTTGTAAAGTGTGCGATTTACCACTTTGAAATATTTAAACCCTATATCTGTTGTAATTGTAACGTTATATACAATGCCGGTTGGGCTTTGTATCTTGCTTAAATTCATGAATTTTTTAAAGATATACCGCCGCAGACTGATGAATTGGCAACTACAATAGAAGTTTTAAAATTTGAGTCGTCCGAGTTACCATTTGGGGAAAATGTAACCCTCATCTGTAAAACAAGTTTGCCAGATAGTCACATGTGGTGGACAGTAAATGAAAAAAATGTTACAGAAGATGAAAGGTAGGTTTCAGCAGGTGTCTATAAAAAAATATTAAATAAGTTCCAGTTTAATTAATCTAATAATGTTATTATTCTGTAATTTATTATGCTATAGGCATGTTATGGAAAGAACGAGTGAAATCAATACTAAATTAGGAAAGAAGTATGAAGTTTTGATTCTACATATCCTAGAAGTTGATTTACAGCATGAAGGAATTTATACATGTCATGCAACTGATAATGAAAAATCTGAAATAGATTTTGCTATGAAGATGCTAAATGTGACATGGCCAGCTAATATTATAGAAATATCCCCTCATGTTAGAACTAAGTTGCATCAACCAGTAAATTTGACTTGTTCTGCAGAAGGATATCCCCTTTCAATATCCTGGTACAAAAATAGTGATTTACTAACAGAATTTGTGTATACAGAAAGTGTAAACAAAACATTTAAAGTAAGTTCTTTTCAATTAAAAGAAGTTACTAAGAAGGACAATGGTACTTTTATATGCTCATCTAAGACTGGAAACTTTGTTAAGAATGCTTCCACTGCAATATTAGTTATAGATAAGCCTCAAGTTAGTATAGATTTTGTTAAAGCATTAGGAACATCAAAAATATTTCTTAATTGGACTGTCAATGATGGTAATGAACCATCATCTTTGTATTATGAAATTCAGTACCGTACCATTGATGACCCTACAACCTGGCTGTACTACTCACATAAGATAGGAGGAGGTAATAGGTCTTATGTATTAGAAAATGTATTCAAAAACAACACTGAATACAGCTTAAGAATGAGAGCTTACAATTCAGAAGGTGAAAGTCAATACTCAGAGACTATTGAACCTGTTAAAACTCTCTCAGAAGACCCTGTTTTTATTCCTGAAGTCAAAGTAACTGGATTTACAGTTAATTCTATTACAATTTCGTGGACAGTCCCTTCAAACGATCTTAAAGATCATATTCACTACTATCAGCTCATGTCACATGCAGGAAATATTAGTGATCCTTTAGAGGCTGTTCATTTAGCTTCCAAGGAAAATTTATATATGTTTTCTGATTTAAAAGCTGCTACAACTTACAGTTTTCAAGTGGCTGCTTGCAATGAATACAGTCATCAGTGTGGACCTTGGTCTGGTAGAGTTAATGCTACAACCATGGATGGGATATCTGGTCCGCCAGAAAATGTTTTAGTCACATGTAAATTGGATAATGTTAGTCAAATTAGTGTTGTATCTGTCCAGTGGACACCTCCGAGTAACCCTCATGGAACTATCATGTTTTACAATGTAAGTTATAAAACTAAAATCGTTGACTCCACTAAATAGTTTGCCTGCAGGTGATATTGGAAGGGAATGCCAGTTTCATAAATGAGCAGGGAATTAGGGAAGTCATGACTTGGGGCCCAAAAGTCTCGAGCGTTAGCAAAATGATGCCCCAAACTCGATTTTACAACGTTTCTGCCAATACTAACTACACTGTTCGGGTCTCAGCAGTAACGAAAACTAAAAGAAATGGCGAATACGTCGAAGCCCATTGTACCATGCCAAGAACGGTCCCTGATAAACAGAAACTGGGTCGATTTTCTTGGCAGAAAGTTGAAGAAGGGGGGAAATGGATGTTTAAATTGTTTCTATCTAGAATTTCAGAGCGTAATGGACCTATCTGTTGCTACAGAGTATACTTGGTAAGAATGGAAGAAAATCAGAAACTTGCTGAGCTACCAGTCCCTGAGGGTCTTAACATTATGTCCTATCAAGAGGCTCATCGAACCCCTCAAGGAGGGGCTTATGTTGCAGAAATGTTTTCAAGGTTAATTACTACATTTTAACTATCAATTGATTGTTAAAACTTTTTGTTTCAGTTCTTCTTTTCAATCCGAAATATTTCTTGGTGATGAACAAGTTGTCAACGACACAGACCAGAGCTTGTGCAGAGAATGCATAGGATTACGTCCGTATTCATCCCCTAAAGAATTCACCACAAACAAATCTTCAAATAGAGTTCGCAGAAATGTGTCCCTCCCTATTGATCCACTCGACCCCTACGACGGCTCTTTAAACATTGGAAGCAATTATACTGGTTTTGTTGAGATTACAGGCAAGTAATACAGATGTTAATTATAGTTAATTATATTCTGTTCTCTCATTTCTTAATGGGCTTCTTTTTAGTTCGAGGAGAAGATCAACAGCAGGCTATGGCAACATACAGCAGCTACTTGGTGATGATGAGTCCAGGTCCTGAAGTGGTCATGGCACCGCCGTCCAGTGTATTAAGTGTGATTGTGCAAGTTCTCTGTGGCCTTTGTGTTGTTACACTCCTTCTGTTGGCGGCCCTCTGCATCTTACATAGGTACAATAAGCAAACACATGCTCAAGCTGTTGAAATAACATTCCGCACTTCTTTCAGGTAAATTTCTTTCAATTTCTATAATTTATGTTGTTTGAATTATGAGGATACACCCTCTGATTGGTTGATAATTGGGAATAGGCATTTGTGCAGGAGTCTACGAGGTAGGCAACGACTGGTTTCCCTTAATCCACCGGATATGTGCCCGATTCTCAAGTCGGAGCTTGTCTCCGCCTATTTGGAAAGGCATAGGGACTCCGATTATGGTTTTCAACAGGAGTTTGAGCTATTACCTGACCGTTTTAATGATAGAACAACCAGAGCCTCAGATGCCAGGGAAAATGTTTACAAAAATCGTTATCCAGACATAAAGGCATATGATCAAACAAGAGTCAAACTGTCTCAGATTGACAGCATTGCTGGATCTGATTACATAAATGCGAATTACGTGTTGGGCTACAAAGAACGAAAGAAATTTATTTGTGCCCAAGGACCAATGGATACTACTGTAAACGACTTTTGGAGAATGATTTGGGAGCAACACCTGGAATTAATACTAATGCTTACCAACTTGGAAGAATACAGTAAAAACAAGTGTGCGAAATATTGGCCAGACAAAACAGAAGGAGATAAGGTTTTTGGTAATTTTACAGTATCTCATTTACAAGAAACCAGATATTCAGACTACATAAGACGTGAATTAAAATTGATTAAAAATTCAAACGGGAAACATGATGAAGAAAGACAAATTACCCAATATCATTATTTGGTCTGGAAAGATTTCATGGCTCCTGAGCATCCTCATGGCATTATAAAATTCATTAAGCGCATGAACGAAGTCTATTCACCTGAAAGGGGGAGTATTCTGGTACATTGTAGTGCAGGTGTAGGCAGAACAGGCACATTAGTCGCGTTAGACTGTTTATTACAACAATTAAAAGAAGAAACCCAGGTTGCTATTTTCAATACTATTTGTGATCTAAGGCATCAACGTAATTTTCTAGTTCAATCGTTGGTATGTCTCTAATTAGTAATTTGCTGTGTATAATTAATTATATTCCATGTTTAAAATATTTCGTTTGATTTTAGAAACAGTACGTTTTTATATATAGGGCTCTAATGGAGGTAGCTTTGTATGGTGACACAGAAATAAATGCATCTGAACTGAAGTTAACCGTCGAAAAACTAAAAGATTGCGATAAAGATAAGAACAGATGTAAGATGGAGGAAGAATTTGAGGTAAATGAACTAATACATTAACAATATTTTCTTATAAGCCTTAAATATTTAATTTTTCCAGAATATTAAAAATGCTTTTGAAGATCGTAAGTCCTGCTCAGTAGGTAGTGGGGAGGAAAACTTAGAAAAGAACCGAAACGAAAGTGTGATTCCTTATGACAGGAATAGAGTAATTCTGACACCACTTCCCAGTAAAGAACACTCGACTTATATCAACGCTTCATTCATAGAGGGCTATGACAATTCCGAATCGTTTATAATTACTCAAGATCCTATAGAGAATACAGTTGCAGACTTCTGGAGAATGATCTCAGAACAGGGAATAACGGTGATTGTAATGTTGTCAGAACTAGGAGAAAACAAATGTCCAAGGTACTGGCCTGAAGACGAAGCTTGTTACGACCACATTACTGTACGTTACGTACAAGCTGAAAGTTGCCCTTATTACACTAGAAGGGAACTTTTTGTAAGAAGTAGAGATGGAGATGATCTCCGAGTTACTCATTTGCAGTACCACGGTTGGCCAACGGTAGATGGAGAGGTAAACAATACTTGTTTAAATTAGTAAATGGTTTTGTTAATAAACTAAGATTTTATTTCATTATTAAGGTGCCTGAAGTGACAAGAGGACTGATAGAATTAGTTGATCATGCTCAATCTACACTTGCCAGCAACGGTGCTTCGACTGCTATGGTTGTTCATTGTGAATTGGGTGCTGAAAGAAGCTCTCTATTCGTCGGCTTAAGTATTTTGGTTCAACAACTACGGGTTGAACGAAGGGTAGACGTATTTACTGTTACTCGAAAACTTAGATCACAAAGACATGCTTTAATTAGTACCTACGTAAGTATCGAAATTCCCTTTTTATGTTAAATATACACAAAAGATCTACGATGAAAATGCCCCAGATAGCATTGAGTTTAACGAGTTTTTTAAATATTTTTTCAACTTTGTTCCTTATACTTATAAGATAATTCATAACATTTAGGATCGCTTCAGTAGTTGAACATCATTATTTTGGTAGTCAAATATAGTTATTTATACCCTTTTCGCCAATTGTTTTATATTTTCACACTATTACTGACATTTCTAATATTTATATTTCATACATCTTCAAACAGATTGACAAAAGTGCCAGAAATAGCCAAGCGTAGCAGACAAATTGTGTTTAACTATTGAAGTGTTAGTTTTATCAACTCTGATCTTGTTATTACAAGTGATGATACCTTATTTTATTTTTTGTTTACAGGCTCAGTATGAATTTCTGCATCGAGCAATTGTTAACTATGCAGAATTGCATAATTTATGTGAAACATCAACTTAATTATTTAATTAGTTTATTTTAACATTCCACTAATATTAGTTTCTCTAATTTGGTGAACAAAGTGGTGATAGAACATCACATTCATCCTCTGTATTAGTTTCCTGAATGAGGAATAATAAATAATATAACATTATTATGTTAACCAAATGATCTTGAAAAGTGACCAAAGTAATTTATTGTTTTTTTTTTGTAACTTCATGATATTATTGCTCAGAAGTTAAAAGAGAAATTTAGCTTTTTTAAGTGCCAACAAATAAAACCTTTGAGATTTTGTTTACTGATATATACACTTTTGTGTAATTAATAAGAAGTATTTAGTTAAAATTGTCGTAAAGTTGAAATTGAATCATGTATATATAATCGTAAACCAAACGATAACTTAGTTTTATTATCTTATTAACAACTCTACTTGCAATGACTATTACTGTACGCTTTTAGTTGTTCAATTTTGGTTTTGCTGTACATACAAATGGTAAAAAAACTAAAGAGAATTGTTTCAGACTTATTTATTAATTATTATTTGTGACTGTAAGATATTCGAATTTTTCTTAGTTTATACTAGTATAATTACTATAGTATTGCACATGAGAGATATTTTTTTATATAATTTAACATTTCACTGCCTTATTATTTGTCAAAGATAATAATTTAGCTGTTGTACTATAATATATTTATGCCTCAAAAACAATGTAGCAAGTCTCAGTTTTTATTGTATTAAGTGTTTGAAAATCTTGCAACGAACATTTCAAAATATTATTTGTTGTATAATAC